CTTGTAGGAAAAAGGGCCTTTAACATTCTAGGTAGGGTGACCAGATGCCCTGTTTTTAAAGGGACAGTCCTGTTTTTTGGGACTTTTTCTTATATAGGCGCCTATTACCCCCCCACCCCCTGTCCCGTTTTTTCACAATTGCTATCATAGAATATCAGGGTTGGACGGGACTTCAGGAGGTCATCTAGTCCACCCCCCTGCTCAAAGCAGGACCAATTCCCAACTAAATCATCCCAGCCAGGGCTTTGTCAAGCCTTACCTTAAAAACCTCTAAGGAAGGAGATTCCACCACCTCCCTAGGTAACCCATTCCAGTGCTTCACCACCCTCCTAGTGAAAAAGTTTTTCCTAATATCCAACCTAGACCTCCCCCACTGCAACTTGAGACCATTACTCCTTGTTCTGTCATCTGCCACCACTGAGAACAGTCTATCTGGTAACCCTAATTCTAGGGCTAACATATCAGCTGTCCAGGACCCTCTTGCGGGTGTGGAGCTGCTGCTGCTGGGCCCAAGATTCCTTTGCTTCAGATTCTCATTTGGGCCAGACCCCCCGCCCCTCGCTACCTTGCCAGCCAGTGGACTCCCTGGTTGCTGCTGCTGCTGCTTGGGTGGGGGTGGGGGGGACTGCTGGCCTGCTCCCCAGAGGGGGGAGTGAGGGACCCCGCCCCTGCTGTTGCTGCTGCCACCACCTGAGGGGACCCTCCTGCCTGGTTACCAGACTGACTGTTGCTGGTGCCTGTGCTGCCTGGAAGCCTGCTGGTGCCTTGGGGAGGAAGAAGGAGACCTTGGCTGCTGGGGGAGCATGCAGGAACTCTGCAGGACACCACGGAGGGGGCCTCCTGAAGGACTGAGTGACTGCTTCCATCTCTGCTCTTGTGGCGGGGGTAATAACTGTTGCTGTGGGGAGACGCGGTGGCGCAGAGCCCTCCCCCTAGTCCATCTGTTCCCCCTTGCCCCCACCGCCACTGCTGCCTCCTCCACAACCCCCACCTACCATCTGCCTCTGCTCCTTACTCTGGGACTCAGTGGCTTGCCTCACCCCTTTTCCACCACTTGGGCCTGTAGCAGCAGCACACACAGGCTGGGCTTTTGCAAGCACACATGGACGCCTGTGCCCCCTCCCTCCCCTTGGACTGGCTCTTACCTCTCCTGCTGCTTTTGGCTGGTGGCCTTCCCCATCCTCTGCCTTGCCCACCAACCTCCCTGCAGCAGTTCCCCCTGTAACCCTTCTGCCCATCAGAGTTGGCAGCAACAAGGGCCGGGTTCAGTATCTAGGGGTTCCCTTTAAATAACACAATGCAAAACCGGCTCAAGCCCCCACTCAGTGACCTAGGACAATTACACGCCATCCCCCTGGGTGCCTCTAAGAAGCAATACTTCCCCGCTTGCAACCACAGAGTCTGAGTGTAGCAAAAGCCTTTTAATTAGGGTTACCATATTCAAACATTTAAAAAAGAGGACACTCCACGGGCCCTGGCCCTGCCCCCAGCCCCGCCCCTTCCCCGCCCCCATTCCAATCCCTTCCCCAAAGTCCCTGCCTCAACTCTGCCCCCTCCTCTGAGCACCCCACATTCTCCCTCCTCCCTCCCGCTCTGATCCTGGTTGGGGGTTGCTAAGTGCTTCCCTGCTCTCCACTCGCACTGCAGCCCCTGCACCCCCCCGCCTGCCCTGCCCCTGCAGCCTCTATGCCCCTGCCTGCCCTGCTCCTCCTCGCCCTGCAGCCTCTGCACGCCCCCACCTGCCCTGCCCCTGCAGCCTCTATGTCCCTGCCTGCACTGCTCCTCCTCGCCCTGCAGCCCCTGCACCCCCCACCCCTGCAGCCTCTGTGCCCCCTGCTCCCCACTCGCCCTGCAGCCCCTGCACCCCCCCACCCCTGCAGCCTCTGCGCCCCCCACCTGCCCTGCCCCTGCAGCCTCTATGCCCCTGCCTGCCCTGCTCCTCCTCGCCCTGCAGCCTCTGCACCCCCCCCGCCTGCCCTGCTCCCCCGCTCCCCCTGCAGAGGGAGAGCTGCGGGCTCCACATGGACCCAAACACTGTGCCGCGCTGCTCTGCGGGGGGAGGGACTCTGGCTGCTAGAGGCCCCAGTGGCTGCGAGCGGCTTTCAATCAGGCCCAGCTGTCCAATCAGCTGCACCGCACTCTGCATGAGGGGAAGGGGGAAATCCCGGACATTTCTACTTTATTAGAAATCCCCCCCGGATGGCCATTTAAAGCTGAAAAAGCCGGACATGTCCGGGGAAACCCGGACGGATGGTAACCCTATTTTAATAAAGGAGGGAAACAATGCAGCATTATATTAGGGAAACACCACAAACAGGATTCATAACACAAACCATGAGCAAATGACCCACCCTCAAGTAAGTTTGGCAGTCTCCTTTTCCCCTCAGGGTCTTAAGTCCAGCAACCCAAAAGTCACCCCACCCACAGTTTCTGACCTTGGTCAGTGCAGCCCCCCCAGAGTTCAGAAGTTCATCTGCAGAGTTTACCTCCCAGGCAGGGTGGAAGTGGAGGGAGGTATGGGGGGGGAGGGGCGCATCTTACATGCTCCGCTGCTCAGGTTGATGGCCAAGTGCCACGCCTCTCCATGGGGTTCTGCTGCAATCTTCACCACCAGATGCACCTCTCTGCCAGCCACCCTGCTAGCTGTCCTGCTGTCTGCTCTACTCAACAGCCAGCCTGCTATCCACTCACCAACTTGTCCAATCAACTAGACCAATCAACTCAGGCCATGTCTAAATCTTCCTGCCCCACATCTCTGAGACCCAGCTTTTCCTCTCCACCTGCACAGCTAGAACTTTCACCTAGGCCCTCTTCATGTTGTAGCGTGAGTACTGCAACATCCTCTTCCGTAGCCTTGACAAATGCAATCTTGCCCCACTTACATCCATCCAAAATGCTACTGCGATGTTCATTCTTCAGCCTCATCACTCCAACCACGTCCCTGCTCTCTGCACATCCCTTCACTGGCTTCCCCCTTCTCCGCTGCCTCAAAAACAAACTACTTTTTCTCCTTCTAAATAAACCCTATTGACCTATCCCACCCACCTATCATCTCTTATATGTGATCGAGCTGTCGACCCTCAGCTCCACTCTGCAAAGGAAGCAAGTCTTGACTGCTCATTAGTCCAGTTTTCTTCTCTCATGCCACCCCCAAAGGCCTGGGTTAAGCTCCCTGTTTACAAAGCCACCTCACTGCTCCTTCAAATCCCTCCTTAAAGCTCCTCTGCTATGATGGCTACAAAACAAGGGGTAGGCCAGGCTACTTGTGTACTGTGACTTCCGCTTGTCACAGTGATCATAGTTGGCATCTCACTGCTCCCTTGTCCTCCTCTGTCTGTGTGTCTGAGCCTACCTGTCATTCTTTTCTTAGACTCAGACGGTAAACTCAGTGTGTGCAGAATGGGGTCCAGTCCCACCCTGACTGGGCTGCTAGGCACTACCCCCCAGTACTGCTCATGCTGCTGCTGCTGTTACTAGCACCCTTGAGGCACAAGGTTGGGCAACCTCTAGGGCTGACCTCAGGAGCCATGCTGGCCCTGCAGCCTCACCTAGGTTTCTATGCTGGTGCCAGTGCAAGGACGAATCTGGGTCTGTGACTGTCTGTAAGCAGGGCCGGCTCCAGTCACCAGCATTCCAAGCAGGTGCTTGGGGCGGCAATCTGCAAGGGGCGGCAGTCCGTGTGTTTTTGCCCCCAAGTAGCGCGCTGAATTGCCGCCGCGGACGGCGGGGGCAGGCCGTGCGCCGTTAGGGTGGCATGCGCGTTTCCACGGTGGCGGCAATTTGGCGGCAGCTTCTATGTTCAGCTGCCCGCGGCGGCAATTCGGCGGCAGCTTCTGTCCTCCGGCTGAAGACAGAAGCTGCCGCCGAATTGCCGCCGCTGCGGAAATGCGCACGCTGCCCTAAAGGCACATGGACTGCCCCCGCCGTCAATTCGGCGCGCTGCTTGGGGCGGCAAAAACAGTAGAGCCGGCCCTGTCTGTAAGACACTAACCAGAGCCCTCAGCAGGAAGGAATCAGGTAGGAAGGTGGCAGTGTAGCTAAGCCGCTGCAATAACACATCTGTCTCCTGGTGTATGCTGGCTGTACGACAGGTAGAGCAGAGCTAGCAAGGTCCTCATGGTATCTTCCAGGTTCTCCTCTTTCACCATTTCCAATGGTTTATTGATGCTCCCTCACCAGCACAATTGAGTGTTTCCAGGTACAGTGAAAAGGGGAAAAGGACTTTTGCTGCTGGGTCAATTTCATGCATCATTGGCCTTTTTTACATGGGCTTTTTCTGCAAAAAATGCCCCATCATTGTTATCACCAATTCTGCTTCACTGGCATTAGCTGAGGTGTGTGCTAGCATTGACCAGGCTCCTCCAGCCACTACTTCTGGGAGGCTTGCTCTGAGCAGGAGGGGTTGAGTAACTCTGAGGCAGACAGAGAGCTGAGCTAGGCTGGTACAAAGGGATCACAGGACAGGTGTAAGATACCCCCCCACACACCTTCCTTGGAATGCCCCCTACCACAGGAAGGCTCTGTACCACCCTGGTTGGAGAGCCAGGTGCCAGGGCAGGCCTGTGCCCAGTGATTCTGTGCCCCTGCAGTGCATTGCACAGTGGCCATTGCAGCAGGGGTACAACAGAAGACCTTACAACTCCTGAACAAGTGCAGCGCAGACTGTATCCCCTCTGTCACCACACTGGGGGGGACTGGACCCTGGCAGTCAAAGGGTAAATTGCTTCTCCATAATCATGTTCTCAACTCCCAACAGAGGGAGGGAATGTGGGAGCTCACATGGGTGAGGAAACCCCATATCGATCTGCTGGAGGGTCAGAGCATGCAGGAGCAGTGCATGGTGGATGGGAAAGATTGGCAGATTAATAGACGGCTCTCGGTGCATGGTCTGTTAGTGCCTGAAGTGGGAGTGGCTGCAGTACCCATCGTTGGAAGCGAGAGAAGACAAAGCAAAACCAAATCAACTTCTGTCTCTTAAAATAAATCCTTTTCTTTTAAAGGTGAAAAATGTCGAAGTTTTATTGACCTTGCCCCGGCTTCTGAGAAAGGTAAGACGAATAACAATTGAGGCTTCTTCCTACTTGCCACTTTGCAGATATCACTATTATTTTTTCATATTTCTTCAGTGCGATAATGTGCATTCTCATAAAAATACAAGAGGCTCTTACAATAGAAATTATATGATAGCTAGACAAGAAAGGGAGTGGGGTGTAAAGCGAGAAAGAACATCCAATCAGTCCTTCCCTACCTTTGAGGCAAGTGTTTATGTGGGAGTTTTGTGGAGTTTTGCAAGGTCTTGTGTAGTGTTCTCCAGATGCATCTCCTCCTGAGGAAACCCAGTGCTTTATAGGAAGTCAAACTATAAACCACAGCCCAGAAACAACTTCTTAACCCCCAGCAGTGGAGGAGAGGAGCAGCACATTTGTGTTGTGTTCATAGGCCAGAAGGATTTGCATATAGAGCAAGCAGCAGTGTCATAGGCATTATTGTTCATTAAATATTGGTTGTGGGAGGTTTGCTTGCTTGTTTGTCTGAGAGGCAGAGAAATAAAGAGATGAGTCAACAGCACTGAGAAGGGACTGGCTGTAAAGATCTTGTTCAACCTGATATATGGAGTTCTGGTTTGTCAATTTCTTCAGTATTTCAAAATCACCTTCTCCAGCTGGTGAATATAGCTGAACCACTCATTAATAGTGATCATAATGTAATTAAATGTAATATTACTGTGGGGGAAATACAAACCCACCACAGAAGCATTAAAGTTAAAAAAGGGGAACACCAGAAAACTGAGGAGGCTAGTTAAGTGGAAATTAAAAGGAACAGTCACAAGAGTGAAATCCCTGCAAACTGCATGGAAACTTTTTAAAAACACCATAGTAAAGGCTCAAGCTACATGTATACCCCAAATAATAATAAAAAGAATAGCAACAAGACGAAAAAAATGCTGCCATCACTAAACTGTAAAAGAGGTGGTTCGAGACAAAAAGGCATCTCTTAAAAATTGGAAGTAAAATCCTTCAGAGGAAAATAGGAAGGAACATAAACTGTCACAAGTCAAAAGTAAACGTATAATTAGGCAGATCAAAAAAGAATTTGAAGAGCAACTAGCAAAAGACAAAAACTAACAGCAAAATTATTTTAAGTACTTCAGAAGCAGGAAGCCTATTCAACAATCAGGGGGTCCCGGTCTATTGAGGTGCTAAAGGAGCACACAAGGAAGACAAGGCCATTGTGGAGCAGCTAAATGAATTATTTGCATCAGTCTTCTCTGCAGAGGATATTGAGGGAGATTCGCACACCTGAGCCATTCGAAAAATCTAAGGAAATGTCTCATTTGAGGTGTCAATAGAGGAGGTTTTGGAACAAATTGGTAACTTAAACAGTAATAAGTCACCAGGCCCAGATGGTATTCACCCAAGAATTCTGAAGGAGCTCAAATATGAAATCGGAGAACTACTAACTGTGGTATGCGACTTATCACTTAAATCAGCCTCTGTACCAGATGACTTGCAGATAGCTCATGTTACACCAATTTTTAAAAAAGGCTCCAGAGGTGATCCCTGCAATTACAGGCCAGTAAGCCTGACTTCAGTACCAGGCAAATTGGTTGAAACTATAGTAAAAAAAAAACAGATTTATCAGACATGCAGATGAACACGATATGTTGGAAGAATCTACACCGCTTTTGTAAAGGAAAATCATGCCTCACCAACCGATTAGAATTCTTTGAGGGGTCAACAAGCACATGGGCAAGTGTGATCAAGTTGATATTGTATACTTGGACTTTCAGAAAGCTGTTGACAAAGTCCCACAGCCAAGGCTCTTAAGCAAAGTGAGTAGTAATGGAATAAGAAGGAAGATCCTCTCATGGACCAGTAACTGGTTAAAAGATAGGTGACAAAGGGCAGGAATAAAAGGACAGTTTTCACAGTGGAGAGAGGTAAATAGTGGTGGGGGAGGAGGGGCAAGGAGCTGTACTGGGGCCTGTTTTGTTCAGCATATTCATAAGTGAGCTAGAAAAAGGGGTAAACAGTGAGGTTGCAAAGTTTGCAGATGACACAAAATTACTCAAGATAGTTAAGTCCAAAGCAGACTGCGAAGAATTACAAAGGGATCCCACAAAACTGGGTGACTGAGCAACAAAATAATAGATGAAATTCAATGCTGTTAAGTGAAAAGTAATTGGAAAACATAATCCCAGCAATACATACAAAATGATGGAGTCTAAATTAGCTGTTACCACTCAAGAAAGATCTAGGAGTCACTGTGGATTGTTCTCTGAAAACATCTGCACAATGTGCAGCGGCAAGCGAAAAAGCTAACAGAATGTTGGGAGCCATTAGGAAAGGGACAGATAGTTTCTATTTTATCATAATGCCACTATATAAATCCATGGTACACCCACAGCTTGAATACTGTGTGCAGTTGTGGTCAACCCCATCTCAGAAAAGAGGTATTAGAATTGGAAAAGGCACAGAGAAGGGCAATAAAAAACCATTAGGGGTATGGAATAGCTTCCGTATGAAGAGAGATTAAAAAGACTGGGACTGTTCAGCTTGGAAAAGATACTGAAGGGGGATATGATAAAATAATGAATGGTGTGGAGAAAGTGAATAAGGAAGTGTTATTTACCACTTCACATAACACAGGGGTCATCCAATGAAATGAATAGGCAGCAGGTTTCAAACAAACATAAGGAAGTACTTCACACAATGCACAGTGAACCTGTGGAACGTGTTGCCAGGGGATGTTGTGAAGGACAAAAATATAACTGGGTTCAAAAACAAATTAGATAAATTAATGGAGATAGATCCATCAATGGCTACTAGGCAAGATGCAGCCCCATGCTCTGGGTGTCCCTAAATGTTTAACTGCCAGAAGCTGGGACTAGATGACAGGGATGGATCACTTGGTAATTGCCCTGTTCTGTTCATTCCCTCTGAAGCCTCTGGTACTGGACACTGTTGGAAGACAGGATACTGGGCTAGCTGGCCTATTGTTTGAGCCAGTTTGACTGTTCTTCTGTAATATAAAATGATTTAAACTTGTTTTCCCTGGGGTCCTCACACTAATTTACATATACTTCTGCCCGTCCCACCATCAGCTGGATTTGAACCCCCACCACACAGGTGCATAACACAGTCCTGAATTACCCTAGGTCTAGGAGTAAGTGGGGTACTGGAGGAGGGGAAGGGGGAAATAAAGGAGAGCATGCTTTTAACTTCTCTGAGGAGCAGCCCATAGCCCACAGAAGGAGCTAGAGCATGCACTTCATCGCTGGGTTAGATAGCTATTTGCGAACTGGCACTAGAATACTGGGTTCTGGCTCTGGGAGCAGAGTATGTGACTGGTCTGAGTGCTGGCAGTGCAGCATCTGTTTGGGAAGGTCTTTGTATCTGCAGAAGCTACCTGTCACAGAAAGGAATTCTGCCTTTTTGATATGTTCAAGTTCCTAATGGCCCTGCTGTGCTGGACAGAGTCTGCAATGAACATCAGATACCTTCTTTGTATTCTATGTCCAAGCAATGAGTTTTGAATTTTCCTTAGCATTCTTTGAAGACATTTTGAAGCAAAGGGTTTTTGAAGATGAATCCCAAAGGTTTGTTGTCTGTGTCCACGTGGATATGATCATGTCCCAGGACAGATTGGTCAAACTTGATGCATTTAAACATAATGGCTAGGCAATCTTTCTATGTTTGAGCTTTGCTTTGTCGGAGATAGTCCAAGACGAGGCAAATGCCACAGGCTGGCCAGTCTGTAATAATGCTGCATTCACTGGCTTCACATTGAATAGTTACAGGTTTCTTTACATCATAACATTTTAGGACTCGATTATTTCGCCACTAACTTTTTGATCTGTTTGAGTCATCTTGCTGTGGGGATTTCCCACACCAACCAGCATCTGCAGTGGTCAGACTGCTAAGGAGTTCGCTAACCTGGGGAGGTACAGCAGGAGCTTGGACAGATGATGAACATACAGTAGAAAGCACTGTATGCCTTTCACAGGTGAGAACAACAGACACATTAGGCGGAGCTTCCCATGCTTTTATGTTGACAGGCTGGTCTCCACCCAGGCCCTCAAAGGTTCTGGACACATGTTGCTTATTGAAAGTGATGTGATTCTGGATCCATAGGCACCAACTTCATGGGTGCTCTGGGGCTGGAGCACCCGGGCGGGGGGAATGGTGGGTGCTCTGCACCCACCATCAGCCCCCCCATCAGCTCCTCTCCCTCCCTGCCCAGCGCCTCCCGCTGATCAGCACCTCCCCCTCACCCCCAGCACCTCCCGCCCACTGTGGATCAGCTGTTTAGTGGCGTGCAGGAGGCACTGTGGGGGAAGGAGCAAGGGCGGGGCACACTTGGGGCAGAGGGCAGAACAGGGCAGGGGCAGAAAGAGGGAGGGTGGGAGTAGGGGCTCAGGGGAAGGGGTGGAGTGGGGGCGGGACCTGGGGTGGAGCAGGGGTCGAGCACCCCCCCAGGAAGACAAAGTTGGAGCTGTTGTCTGGATCAGTTTCTATTTTATAAACTTCTTAAATGAACTAAAATAAAAATCAAGGAAACATATCACCATAGCTAAGCTATTATTAATAATACTAAACTAAGAATAAAACACTATCAAAACAGAATCAAATCCAGAAATCAACAAGTGAGTCTCAATATTAGGTTGGAATGAAATCATAAAATGAGTATTAAAAATATAATCAGTGCTTATATAAACTCTAAGAGATGGCACAAGAAGGTGGCTGCCCATTTGGTTATAAATCCTAACTAGCAAATTTTACCAAAAATCAATCAAATGTATCATTTGCACCTGGTTAACAATGAAACCAAATTCTTATAATCTTAACCACAACTTCACAGTTAATTATACAGCTTCCTTCTTAGACGTCAGTTCTTATGTGGGGGGCTGACCCTTTCTTCCTCTCCCACAGATATTATAATACACACTTTAACAGAACACCATTACTAAGCAGAAGTTTAACAAACCTTATTTACTAGACATTACAGAGGACAATCTCAAAGTCTCAAGTCTTTTAGGCACAGAAGA